GCTTTACAGTATCAGAGACCCTAGAGGCTGCTTTACTGTATCAGAGACCCTATAGACCACTTTACAGTATCAGAGACCCTATAGATTGCTTTACAGTATCAGAGACCCTAGAGGCTGCTTTACAGTATCAGAGATCCTAGAGACTGCTTTACCGTAAGAGACCCTAGAGACCGCTTTACCGTATCAGAGACCCTAGAGGCTGCTTTACCGAATCAGAGACCCTATGGGCTTCTTTTCAGCATCAGAAACCCTATAGAGCAGTGGTTCTCAACCTGTGGGTTGCGACGCCTTTGGGGGTGGAACCACCCTTTCACAGGGGTTGCCCGATTCCTAATAGTAGCAAAATTACAGCTATGAAGTAGCAATGGAAATAGTTTTATGGTTGGGGGTCCCCACAACATGAGGAACTGTCTGACAGGGCCGTGGCGTCAGGAAGGCTGAGAACCACGGTGAGGGTCGCTATGAGTTGGAGTTGACTCAGTGGCAGTGAACTTGGTCTGAGGCGGGGTGGTGGAAATTTTTTTTTTTTACACAAACACGCCATGATTTATTTAACTCTTTATAGATGGGCATTTTGGTCTTCTGGTAATTTACTACGGTAAATAATACAAACTTTCTTGATCACCTGTCATCTATCTATATCCATCGGGGTAGATCAAAAAGCATTGCTACACAATCGTCGAAACTCGTACTGGGTAAGACACAGGGATGGGAAGCGGCTGCCTCCCCATTTATCCTCCTCCATCTAGGCCAACACACTTCCGCCGGCGGGGCTTTCAGGTCTCCCACCCTTCCCTTCAATCTCCACGACACCCAAAGAGCATTCTGGCTCATCTAGCGACTGGCACTGGTGTTCCCTTTAAATGGACTTTGGGTTTGGGGAACAAAAATATGTCAGCAGGGGCAAGGTTCCTCTGAGAAATCCTCATAAGCCAGTCCTCTGTACCTTCAAACAATGAGCAGGAGGAACACCGTGCCAGCAAAAAAATCCGTCAACGCAACTGTCTTGGCGTTTTTCTCACCAATGCAGTGTGCAGTTTTCTTGAAACGTCTTCGTACTCAACCGGTGATCACCCCGCGTCCTCAGGCACGTCTGTCAAGATGAGCCCCTGGGTGTCCATCTACAGAACCGAAACAGGCCTCTCTGCCCTGAACGTACTTCTTTATCGGCAGATACTTCACACCCCCTACCACTGAATCATTCCCTCCCATTAGGAGCAGGTGTGTAATCATCTCCACAATCAATTTCAGAACATTTTCTTCTCATGCCCCTATGGGTTTTGTGATTTTTTGCGAACTGCCCCTATGGGTTTTGTGGTTTTTACAGACTGCGTGGCCACCCCATTGTTCTCACTGGAGCAGCCGGAGGTGTGAGCTGTGGCTGAGCTTCTTGGTTACCGCCAGGGATCCTACCCACGTTGTCCCAAACTCCCACTGCCGAGTGGATTCTGACTCATGGCCACCCTCTGTGGGACTTCAGAGACTGTCAATCTTCCTGGGGCAGCCCGCCTCATCTTTCTCCCCCGCGGTGACTGCTGAGTCCGAACCTCCAACCTCGTGGTTAGCAGTCCAATGCTTCACCCACTGTGCCACCAGGGCTCCCGAGAAGGAACTGAGAAACCTATTTTACACACAAGCTGCGTTGCCCAGAAGCAGAAGTTGCAGATGGGGTCTTAGGTGGTACAAACAAGCGTGCTTTCCGCTCAGATTCACAATGGTTAAACAGCAAACAGAAGCCTCCACCGCTTAGCCAAAACAGGTGAGTGGTCTGAACCCACCCGCAAGGAAGTGGAAGAAAGGCCTGGTGATGGGCCTTCTGCACCGTCTAGTCCCAGGAAAGCTCTGTGAGTGAGTCGGCTCTGCAGCATGTGGGGTGACACCAGGCAGAGGATAAATTATTTATTTTGGAAGTTGAGGTGAGGCCAGCTGTTTCTAACTGGACAGCTCTGGCCTCCCGAGGCGCACTTAACTCACGGGCCGATTCTGCTCCATTTTAACCAGAAGGCTTCTCTATGAAAGACGGTCCAATTGCTTTCACTACATATGTCAAGAGGTATAAATATTTTTGAAACTAGAGGACTATATCAAAGTCCTTAACAATTCCTGGTCATCCAGGAGGCTGTTCTTAAATAACATTTGCTTTATTCGATTTGAGAACATTCTCATTTGAAAAGAATACGCTTTAACTTTCTAATCTCAGGTTTTTTTGGGAAAAAATAAAATAGTGAGCAAACGCATATTTTTGTCATATGCTAATGAAGCTAAACTCCAAACAGTCTCTTTCTTTAAATAGATGGTCGGTGTTTTCATTTGCTCCACAGACAGAGCTAGAACGGGATTTAGCCACGTCAGCTAGCGCTGTGGCCACTGTCAGGAAAAGCTACCACTGTGGCCTTGTGGGAGTGGCAGGGAAAACCAAGGCTGTATCCTCCAGCAGAAGGGCTGTGGCCGGCCTTCATCTGAACACTCAAGGTTGAAGAAGTAATAAAAAGCCAAGGAACATGAAGGCTTTAGGTGGGTCCAAAGAGAACTCATCTGGGAGACGAAGCAGTTTTCACTCAGGCTGTGAAACAACGGTGGACACAGAACTTATTTTTATGGTTGATTGCACATTATGCCTGGAAATAACCAAATTCTTTTCTTTTGGGTAGCTTTGCAGTAAAAAAGGGTCAACTTGTTTTTGCATGTTTGCCCCTGGACAGCTATAACGGAATGAATATAATTGTGGCTTCTTTCAGAATTTGTTGATGGAAATAAATGGGCACAATGATAGTATATTAAAGTACATTCGAGCAAGCATTAAGTTCATAGCAACCCAGGAAAGGGCATGGGATGAAAATCTAAGGTTCCAGGCACATTAAGAAGCAGAGACAAAAGGTATCTATTTCACGTGGGCCTGCCAGCTCAGCAGGTATGCATGCAGTGTCTTCAACACCTATTGATAAGGGCCAAGTTCTTCAAACTGTAGTGTCTTTGAATTCCTCCAGGGCCAGAAACAACCAGCAAGCCCAGCAGGACACCTTTATCACCTCCGTCCACTTCTGCGTCTGCTCTCCTTCCTCTCTCAACAGGGGCAGACAAGTAGAAGACAAGGGGTATGTGGGATGCCAGCTTTGCTAGGACAGCGCGCGGAGAAAAGAGGCTAAAAAAGGGATTGTCACAGCTACTGAATAAAGAATACAATTCCGTGAAAATGTGTCCAAACTCCTGGCTCGCTCCTTTCAACTAGAATTTTCTGAAAGCTGACGGAAAAAAGCACACCAAAACAAAACAGAAAACACCTCTACGCACCTCAACGCACCGCCCCCTCTAGAAAATCTCATCATGAACAGAATTCTCACAATGAAAGCACT